CTATATATATATATATATATATATAGAAGATTTAGTATATGTTAAGTTGTACTGAAGTTGCAAAGTCTGAAAGTTAAATTTTTGAAGTTGTGTATCAAACTGAAGCTTAAGAATTTTTCTTTTAAGTTTTCTTTTGAAATAAAGGAATTAAAACATAGATAATATAATACTTTGGATTGGTATACCTTGATAGTAGGATTGCTTAATTAAGGTTGGAATGTAGTAAAGTAAAATCTTGTGACATGCACAATACAGGGGTGTCTGTAATCATAGGGTTATGGGTGCCACTAAGTTCCTCTTGTCCTAGTTAATCAAGGAACAAGGTGTCACATGAGCTTTCTCCAGAGGAAGACTGCTGTAATGTATAAAATGTTGTATAGAAATAGACTGTGATTTATTCCACTGGTAAGTCAGTTAATTCCCAAATGATATAACATCCCTTATTTTGCAGTGAGATTGACTATTATTGATATGGGTAGTACTTTTATTCTGAGGAGAATGGAATTGTTTTTTTTTATTAATATATAATGCCGTGGTTTGTCAGTATAGATTATGGCAATAATGATTTTGGAGACAAATTTAATGGATATAAGATTTAGAGAGCTCTCCGGTAAAGTTGCCACATAATACACTTGTTTTTGCCTTAGATTGTTGTTTGTGTGAATAAAGATTGTTTCGATGTGTTTAACTTATGTCTAGTCTCTTTCGTTTCTTCAAGGTCAGAGAATTCAGATATTTACTCAGCATAATTTCAGGAAAGCTTCCTGCTATTCTGCAGTTCCCACCCAATTACTTCATGAGAAATCAGTGAACTTGAGAATAGCATAATAATATACTGTGAGGAAAGTGAGAATGTGTAATGATTTATGAGTGTTTGTATTTTATTTTAATATCAAACATCCACAACTTAGCTAACTTAAATATACTAGGGTATTAACACTAGCTTTGTTAAAATTCAATTCATTTTAAGCTGCAATAACTTGATAAGTGTTGGATATCCCAGGTATTTGATTAGAACTTTCTGTAGTCATCAAATAGAGGAGAAAGTATGCAGCAGGTAAACATTAAAGGTTAATTATGTAGAATGTAATGTAATGCATGTCTTCTACTACCCAAATTACTATTTCTTCTCTTTATTGACAAGTAAAATTTATTCAAAAGTTAGGCTTGATCAGCTATATCTGCTACTTCTGTGAATTTTGGCTTATTACAACTGGTGGAGACATTTTTATAAAAAAAGGATCCTATAGCATTGTTAAATTTTTATATGTTTTTGTATTATTTACTTTACCAGCACAATATTTTTCAGCACTCTTAAAACATATCTGTACCAGATCTTGTATAAATTTGGTACATTTGCATACTTTAATCTTTAACTGTAGTACATATCTTTTAAAAGAGCAAAGATGTTTTGTGTATGATCTTTAAAGAGATAGGTTTGAGATTTAAGAACTTAAATATATTCACATTTTCAAAAACCTTGTATAGAAAAGTAAACAAATGTGTATCTTGCTTGCTTTAATTTATTTCTTCATTTTTAATTTTCCATTAGATGAATAATGGAGAAAGTTGTACTGAAGATACTAGTGTTAATGATTGGATAAAAGGCTTAAAGGTGAGTAATGGTTTATATATACAAACCACAATTATTTATAATGTAGATTTAAAACCTTATTTAAAATATTAACTTGCTTTGCTTTTCATTTTTGTATAAAAATGATTTATTTTAATATACATCTGCTCTTAGTTTTGTAAAAAACAAAAACAAATGTGTTTGTAGAATGAATGTATTGTATAAAGAATAGGGCATTCCAATTATAGTAATTACTATTGTAACCAAAAACCAATTTTTTTTTTTAACTGAAATTAAACAACAGTTATTGTATAATCACTTACTTTTTCATTCCTAAATTCGACACAGCAATGCACTAACATTACACTTACTTGAATATCAAAAACAGACAATCTTTCTCAACACTTGTAATTTTAACTGAGTCTATCCAAGTTCCATGTGTAGTAGCTTATCCATTGTGGCTTGTTGTCAATATCTAAAACACTGTATTCACTAGCTCTGCAAGAAAAAAGTTGTTAAACTCTCCTTATATCATTCTGATTCAGTGAATTCTCACCTAACCAGAAATTTATTTTATTGATCTTATTATGAACTGTTGTATAACTGTAAAATATTCTAGACTGAGCTTATTCAGAAAAATCCTAGTTTCAATTTCTGAAAAAAAATAATTACACAGTTACTACATGGCCACACTTGTTGGATAAACTTGAAACCAAAAACAATGCCATATCATATTACCACAAAGAAATAACTTATATAAATTAGTTTAATTCTGATTAACCATATTGTATAAATCTTAGGATCTTTTTCAAAAGGCTTATGTAGTATTTGATAAATATGTAAGAAAATAAGATTGTGATTGGAAGGTGGCTGAATTGTAGGAGAAATGGTGCATTCATATTAAGTTATTTAAACATTCAACTTTCCTATCTAATGCTACAGTTGATTATTTAACTATGAGTGAAACTTTTCCTTAGTGTACATGGGGTGTTTTAAATTTACCAACAGCAATATTTGTGATGTGAGGTTCATTTTTCTGTTACACTAAACATTTTCTTAAGATCAATTGCATAATGTAGCTTTTGAAGATTAGTTTATTTATGTCTAGAAATTCAAAAGCTGTTAAAATAAATTATTTATGAGAGTTATTTAGTCTTAACTTTTTGTTTTTACACACACACACACACACACACACACACACTTATTATGATATATTATATAACTTATTGTTTGCTATCACCTAAACAGAGTAGTGATGGGGTAAGTATATGCATGTAAACTACATTATGCAAAATGAAGGTGTTTTTTTTATATAAAAACTTAATTTATACATAAAAGAAAATTATTAACATATGCTTGAATAATCTAAAATATGTTCACAAATAAATCTTGAGTTAACAGATATGAACTATGTACTGTAATAACACGAAGGTTGAAAATATTTGTTTGTGAGAACAAAATGGACAGTGGTGGCAACATGTGCTGGGTTTTACTTCAATATTAGTTGGCTACTAAGCTGTAGAATAACTTATTGGTCTGATGTAGCTAGAAGAAAGGTAAGAGACTTCTGCAAACAATGAAGACTGAAAACATTGTGTCTAAACCACGTTGTAAAGTCAGATAAAAGTTCTTAGATTGCAGATCCTTACCACTCCTTTTCACAGAAGCATAGCTAAGCAAGTATAAGCACTATGAAATGGGTACTGTGATATGTAACCTTAATATGAGGTGATAATTAATGTCAGTTTACAATTATTGACATTTTTCTCACAAAGCATTAACTAAGTTCTTAAGTATGTGCACAAAAGTTTGGAAAAGTTAACTGGATAATGATATGTATTCTTTTCTAGTTATAAAAAAAAATCTAACATTTAATGGTTTATAATTCCAACCAGTATCACCGGAATACTTGTACTTTTTAATACACTAATATGTAGCTAGTACTCTAAGCTTCATTAAAAAAATATATACTTTTTTTTTAAGTGCAAAATTTCCCTCCTAAGGTTTCAACCACTAAGAAACTATTTCAAAAGCTGCATTGATTTTAATTTTGTTTGTAACTTCCAGTCTGCTGTAATTTTGAATTCTAATGAAAAATTATTTATTAATTAACTTATTTAACTAATATAAACCATCATTTCATGATCACTGTTAAGTGTAGTTTAAAATAAATGGTTATTGAACAATTTTAGCAATCAATGTGTTTAAAGGAAAATTAAGTTTAGCAATAAAAAAGGATTATGACACTAATGATGAACAGCAAGGTATTCAAATATCTATTTTGGAACTCTACAGATTCCATCCTTAGTATCTAAAGCAAAATATAAAGAATTTACATAAATCCTAAGTAAATTAATAAAATGTGTTTCTACATTACTGATATTTTAACCAAAACTAAAATACACTGAAAGTAAAGGAGTAACAACAAAAATGCTGTGCAATTTAAATGAAGATTGCATGTTATTCAGGGTTGGAGAATGCTGTTTGATGTGGAGGGATTCTTTAATCATTAATTCCAGATCCGTGTTGGCTTTGCAAAGGATATTGAAATTGATAAGTTAAGTTTATGATATAAGTAAATAATGTTGTTCATCATAGGTGTCATAATCCTTTTTATGGAACAATTTTAATACTGTAAAAGAAAACGTTACATCCATGTTAATCATTATCTTACTATAATGGATGTAGCATGTATATATCTATCTATCTATGTATGTTACCAAAATAATAAATACAGTGTGGCGCCATCTATCGAATGGCACCAAAAACAAATTTCACACTTTGGGGTATTCAAGCTTCAGACAATTAGAAAAATAACTACAGTATGTGCAACAACCATTCCTTTATTACAGAACACACTTTTAAATAAAAGTACTCTCCTCACAAAAAAAAACATGACTTTCACTAGGATTGTACTTCAGGGTCCCATTATATCTTTATTAATGTAATTTGTAAATATAGTACTAAATGTATGGAGTTCTTAAAAAACAACTTATTATTTCAATAAAGGGTATCACTTTTAATATATAAAAACATTAGTTTATATTAGCACAATCTGAACACTTTTCCCATGCAGTACTTCTCAGAAAAATTCCCTTTTTAGAAAATGTTCACTTTTCTAAATTTTTTTTTTTTCAATGAGTTATAGATACTATAATTATTAATTACCAGCACAAATGGAATTTCTGTTTCTGTAAGTAAGTTTGATACCTCCTATGTGTTCAGAAAACTACCTGTAGTGTAGTCACCCTTTTGAATAACTTATGAATAAAACATGCCTGTACCTTCCTATTTGTTATCTAGTATTGTATAACTTTTTGATTGCTTTTATAATTTGACTTCACTATATCACAAAAGAAATATTGAAACTAACTATTGAAATCAATGTGGCACACATACTTTATATATAGCTGCAACAAGATTTACTTTTGATGTTCTTATAAATCATTTGTTACTACAGTGCTGTACATTGTGTAGTGTTTTTTACTGAGATGTAGCAAATACTGTTAGACACTTCTTGTATCCCAGCTATCAAAGTACAAATATATATTTTCCTTTGTTAAGTAATATCAAAGCAAGTGATTATGTCAGTAGCTCATAACTGAAACTATTGAGATGTTGTACTTTCTTGAAATGCAAACTAGACTTTGGATGGATATGTGAATATTAAATTAAAGCTAGTAAAGTAGTAGTCTGATATAATACTTGTAGCAGGGTTTTTATGGGTCGTTAAAACCCTTGAAATTACCTGGAAAAAGGCCTTGAAAATTGTTAAGTGATTTATAAAATCCTCCTGTACTGAAGTACATATGTGACACGTGACTATTATTAATCTAACCATCAAAAAATCACACACATATAGGTACCTGAAGTTCAAGGCTTAATATTTTAATGTAGAAATATTTTCAAGATATAGGAAAACATGAATAGGAAATTTAATCATACAACCATATATTGACAGTGGAAATTTGCTTTTATTTTGTTTTTTTAGTTTGAATTTTACCAGAAGGTTGTAGTCAAACAGTTAGTATCTGAAATGATTGCAAAAGTTCAGGATTTTCAAATTATTTTTCAATATTGTTTATGTAATTCCTTTGGGGAATAATTTCTTAAAATTATCTGTGGCTTGCTGTCAGAAAGCCTGTGAGCTCTCGCGTTTAGCCATTTATCATCACTGGACATTGGCATTTTTTTGCCAGTTGATAATCCAGACATGATTATGAATATTTAGACTGGTTCTAAACAATGATCAAAATTATTTGTTAAAACAAGAAGCTCGATGCAAGCATAAAATTTATTGAATAAACTACATTATAGTAATTGATTGATAAGCCTTTTCTGGTAGCTCATTGTTTTTTGGTTTTTTTTACATCTGAAGAGCATACAAACCTAGTGAACATTTTTTTCTTCCAGTCTGGCAACCATAAAACAACTGGTAAACATCTCTTTAGCCAAAACAGTTAGTTTCAACCATGAAACTTATTATTATTTTAGTCACTTGGAAAATTCAGATTTATTTTGTTTGTTTAATACTTTATGTTATTACTTATTTGCATGTTATCATAAATATCATAATCTGTGTTTAATATTTATTATAGTACTTTTGGCTTTCAGATCATGCAGGAGATGTTGTGCAATTATAATGTTAATCTGCAAAGTCCTGGTTCCCAATTAAGTGTTTTCTGATAATTTTCTGACATTTTATTAAAATTAAGTATTTATGAAATATGGATTTCTTCTAAAACACACAGCCTGATTATATGTGAAATTGTCAGATAATTGACTAGTCAATGGATGAAATATTAAAGGAACCCTACTTGTAATACAAATTGCACACCTTTCCTTACATAACATGAAAGTAAACTAAGACCATGTTTAATAAGATTTAGTACACAGATATATATATATATATTTCAATATTCTTTTAATTATAAAATTTTAGGTTTCTGTTTGATCATAACCTGCAGTGATAGTAAATAATTATATGTAAGCTTTTGTTTTTTACAATAGAGACCTACCAAATGTTATTTTTACATGTTCTCATATATGAAAATGGTTCCATTGAGTACTTACAAAACTGCCCCCCAGTTGCACAGCAGTATGTCTACGGACTTGCAATGCTAGAAGTAAATACACAATACTATGTAGAGTAATATAAAATAAAATGTAGTTTACATCAACTATTGTTGGAACATGAAGTTTCAACACTTTCACTTGTCCTCTTCAATCCAACTGCTTTATGAGAGAAACACATACAGTTTATTTTATAATGGTTGTTCCAAGTCCCTTGAGGGCATATGATGTTAGTAAGGAGTTCAGTTTTTAGTGATCTTTTGAAATCTCAAAGTTTGACAATTTTTGAATTAACAAACTTTCTACAAGTCTTCTTTGGACATAATTTCTAGTTTTATGTATCATTTTGGCAGATTGACAGTTAATTATATGATCAAGATTTCTCACATGAAGAAAAATAGCATTATTTGTTTGATCATTTTTAACTTCCTTTTTATGTTTTATGAGACTTGTATATAAATTTCTACCCATTTCGCCAACATAAACTTTGTCACAAGACTGATGGGACTACATAGACTCCTTGTTCTTTATTATGCTTTGTAGACATGTATGAAGGTAGGAAGTTCTTAATGGTGTTGGAATATTCATAAACAACTTTGAAATTGTTGTTTTTGAGACATTTCTCTAGAGCCACAATATTAGAACTGTAGTTGATGGTAAGTAATTTCTTCTTATTTTCGTATGTAGTTGATGCTGTTTGTTGGCTATTGTTCCTATAAAATGTCTTCCTTGTCTTATGATAGGTATTTTTGATAAAACCCATAGGATATTGTAGCCATTTGAAGATTGTATAAATGTTTTTGATTCCTTCATCAAGGGTTGTATGATGACATATTCTGAAGACTCTTAGAAACATGGAAGTCATAATAGATGTTTTAACTATATTATGGTGGCACGAGAAAAGTGAAAATAGCTTAAAGGGTTTTCTATAGGTTAAGAAGGAAGGCCCTGTTATTTCTCTAGTTATGAGAATGTCTTAAAATGGGTATGAATTATTCGTTTTCCATTTCACGTTATACTTGACAGTACTGTGAAGATTGTTTATCATCTGTAAAAAGGCTTTAAACTCATTTCTGTTATTTGGCCAAGCCAAAAATATGTCATCAACGTATCGGAACCAAGGGATTTTCTTGGAATTTGGATCCACTCTAGAAAGTAATTCACTTTCAAGATACTCCATAAAAATGTTACATAAAACTGGGGATAAAGGGTTTTCCATAGGCATTCCATATTTATGTCTGTAATATTGTTCCATGCATGTAAATACATTATCATCAACACTTACTTCCAAAAAGGAAATGAAAGTTTGAACTGGTATAGGAAGAGGAATGTTAAATTCAGATAATTTTTTTTTAAGGAAGTTTAATGTTTCATCAACTGATACATTTGTGAACAAAGAATCAACATCAAAACTGACCATTTTTCCTTCATTTATGTTAGTTTTTCATTTTATTGGCAAAATCTATACTATTCAGAAAGTGTGACAATGAGTACTTTCCTAGAGCAGGAGATAGGTGTTATGCTAGCCATTTGGATAGCTTATAAGTAACTGATCCTACATTGGGAATTATAGGTCTGAGAGGGTAGTCATCTTTGTGGGTTTTAGGTTTCTGTACATATATGGCAGAGAAAGATTGATCAGTTTAAAGATTTTTGAAAGATCTGGATAACCAGATAAAAATTTCCAGCATCAGATTTGTTGAAATCAGATGCTTTCCTGGGCAATAAATTAGTCCTGAGTTTTTCGTGTTTTCATCCTACAATAAGTTGTTTAGTTTTTCATTATAAATAGATTTATTCATGATGATAGTTTGGTTTGTCAGATTTAATTACTATAATATCCTTTTTTTTTTTGAATTTTCTTAATGCTTGTTTGAAACAATGAGGAATTGCAAAGTGTACTGGTTAGGCATGCAGCTAAAATGTTCAAATCATCACTGGATGTAAGCTTTATTTTATCCTTCATTGTATTGACTCATCTGAAATTAGTATTAGAATTGATAATGGCCAAAACAGTGGTATTCCTCAGTTAGGTCTTTAGAATCTGGCAGCTGATCCTTGATTTTCTTATCTTTATAAGTGTAAGAACCACGATAAGAATAGAAAAAAACTAAATTGCATACAGTTTCTCCTAACTCATGCATTATATTGTTCCTGCACTTTTGTAATTCCTAATATTCTCTTCATAATAATTTTAAACTACAATATTAAGTTTAGTTTGTATAAAAAAATCATTCGTTTTCAGTCTCTTTATTTTTTGAAAGTGTTACTGTTACTTTTATTTTCAAACTTCTTTAAATTATAACATGATAAAGTTTATATGTACTAGCTAGATTGATCAAAAATTCATTCTGGCTGGTGTGTTGAAAAATACACAATCAAAATCATTTGTTTATGAAGTGGTATAACATTGAACTAGCATGTATCAACTAAAACAACTAGTTTTATTTTTTAATTTTACAAAAAATAATTACTGTATTTGCCAGTGTATAAGATGTCCATGAATTTTTTGAGCAAATTAAACATAGTTCTTTGAGGCTTGGTGTATAGGATGAGATATATTATTAAGCAAATCCAATGTATTATTTTTTTAAAGAAATTCTTAGAAATTATTTTTAAACTGTGTTAACCTGCACTCTGGGGTAATCAGTACAACCACAAGTGTGTTTTGTATGCTCCTCGATTGCTACAGACGGCTCAGTGTGGCATAACTTAAGTCACATATAATAAACAGTTTTACAAAGTTTCATCACAACTGAACTCCTTTTCTATTGCAAAGAAATACTAAACCTTAAGATATAGTGACACTATAAAAACAGGTTTACAAAATTAGCATATGTTATAGAAACTAACTTTTTTTATATAATATTAACAATATTTTAGTATGATGGATGAGATCAATATATTTCAAATCAAAAATATCTTGATTAATTGTAACTAGCATGTGAGATGAATAACTTCTAGTTTCGAAGAATTGAGACAAATGATACGATTATAAATATGTTATTGTAATGCAGTTGGTGGCATGATGCCAATGCACTTACTGAAAAAAGCAAACAAAAGTAAAAGGAACAGTGTAGTTTTTGGTTAAATATGCTATTAACTGGAGAGTTCTTGCTGGAACTATTATCTTTGAACCCGTGTACAAGATTAGGGGACTCCTAACACAATGCCTAATTTTAAAAAAATATTGTCTTGTTCACTGACAAATACAGTAAAGTGAAAAATATCTTATTTGTTATTTCCTGTTGGATTAGGTCACTGGCAGATATAATTACAAAATATTAATGTTCATGTGTGTGTGTGGAGTGGAAGTAAGCTTGTGTAGGGTTGTAAAAAGAAACCCTAAGCAATGAAGGAATTTGTTAGATAAAACCAATAGTAAATTTAAGAAAATAAAAAGAAAGAAATGAGAATAGGAGGTAAAAAATAAACATTTCATGTGCTTTTTAGGCATGATTAAATAACTTAAATTATTTTTATAAAATTAGCATACATGTGTGTGATAGTTGAAGAAAGGATTTTATTATTATGAATACTTTACAAATTTAGATGTATCTTATTTAAAGAAAAAAATTATCCTTTCTGGATATAAGATAAAATTGTAGTATTGTAAAATGTAGAAAGATATCCAGTGTTGATTGAAAAAAAAATTGTTTTCACAGCTGGGTGAGGTCATACTTTATTTTACTTGCTAGTGATAAGCTGATTTAATTCTGTAAAAGAAAACAACCAGTAGGTAAAAGAAATATAGTGCTTCTGTTTTTGTGTTTTTTAATTATTTTTGCTTTATTTTTCAGAATATGTACCAGACATATAAAAGTAACAATCCTGTGAATTTGAACCGATTTGTACAGCTCAGGTTGCATTGCTCTGTCGTAGGGGCTAGATGTACTTGTGATTTAGAAATGATAACCATAGCCACAGAGCTGAAAGTTACTCCCATTCCACCTTTACCTGTATTAAATACACCTCTTTCGAAAAACCTGGCTGGAAAAGAAAATCTTAGTGACATACAAAATGAACCAAAAACTGGGTTAGTATTTTAGAGAATCGAGATGAAATCTTCTAAACATACATCTATGTATTTTCTTTAGTTTATCAAGTAATAAGAGTATTTACATTGAATGATAGTGTGTAGTTTTAGAATATAATTCTGATAGGATGCCTCAATAAAACATAAAGTTAAGTATGAAAGTTAAAAGACCCAAAAGTAATCAAAATCAGGTAAATGAAGATCAAGTAAGTACTACAACAAATTCAGTAAAGTGCTAAAAAAAAAAGGAAAGTAGAACAGAAAGTCATTTACTGTAAAGTACAGTTCTGTATTTTTGTTTGAAGCATACGTTTTGGATTGGGTTCATGTCTGCGTAACTCTTTCGCAACAGGTAGGTCAAAGTGTGCATGTTACAACATTTAATAGAGTTACATTCAAAATTTAATTAAAGTACTGTATTATCATTGTATACAAATAAATGAATAAATTAATTAATCAAAGTTTGATATTATATAAGGTTTAAGTTTTAATTTTATAAGGAAATATTAAAAAAATTCTCAATCTCTCCTAGTATTAGAATTGTGACATTTGTTCTCTAAGTCTTCTCTTTTTTCTATTTTATTCAACACTCCCTCTGAGAAGTACAGAATTTAACATAAATTACTTATTATAATAGTTATTGCTCAGGCAAAGCAAAATTTTTGTAACCTTTAATCTTATTTGTTTATGAAATCATAAACTAGAAAATCAGACTCCTCTTGCCACATCTATCTGTCACATCCTCTATTTCACAAATTGCCATTAGCTCTCTCTGATGTTTAATACTATATTATTTATAACTAATAGAAAGCTTATGTTTTAGTCTATCAAATGGCATGCTATATTGCATTATTTTTCAGTGCAGAGATTTTTCTATTTTGCTTCCAGTTCAAACTTTATTTCCCTTGGTAATGCATAGATGAGTTTAGCTGAATTTTTATTGGCTGTTATGACATAGTTAGAAAGCTGGAAAAATTATGATAGTTATAGAACATTCTGTATTTTTTAGGTGCATTATTTAATTGAATAAGAAATTATTTAGTGTAGTAATACCATTAGTATGGAAAAAACAAAAGTAGGCTTAAATTTCATTAACAGTTGAAAGCAAAAAAAGAAGACCCGGGTAAGTACTATGTCTCTTGTTTTTCATGCGTATTCTTTATTTATTATTATAAAAGTAACTAAATTGTAAAAATTAGAAACTTGTTAGATTAGGTAAAATAAAGAAAAAATAATAAAAATTTGTCACAAAGTATGCCAAACATGCTCGCCCTTTTAGTCCCACTATTCGTTGGTAAAAGAATAGTCCAAGAGTTGGCGGTGGGTGGTGATGACTAGCAGCCTTCCCTCTAGTCTTACCCTGCTAAATTTGGGACGGCTAGTGCAGATAGCCCTTGTGTTGCTTTGCGCGAAATTCAAAACAAACAAACACAAAGTATGCTTGTGAGTAACTCATTCATTACACAATTCTATATGGTAGTGTGATTTACAATTGTATGGTGAGATTATTAGTTACATGTGGTTGAAATGTCAATAAAACAATGAAATTAAATATAAATAGATGCATACTATGACATGCTTTAAGCTATTTAAGATAAACAATTGTGATTTAAGATAAACAATTTGCAGTAATTCAGGGAAAAAAGATTACTTGTATTCATTTCCTAATTTTTAATGGTGATTATGAGGCTGGACACACTGAGCAAATGGGTATAGAGTTGGATAGAGAAAATAACAGATAAAAGTTATTATTCTCATACACTGACAATATATTTCTAATAGGTACTTACCTCTATTCACATAATAGCTTTTCTCATTCAGTGCTACCCTTTATATGCAAAATTGTTTCACTTGCCACCCGCTTTGAAACTCCCATCTACTTTATGATCAACATAGTTTACTGTGTCTTTGCATGTAAATTTTCATGCGACAACCCTTTACCAACAGGAGTGTGACATACTTTCCTGATGCAGATTACTCCCTCTTTTCGATTTCACCTAACAGTTACTTCGAGATTAGGCAGAAAATATGCACCAGTAGTGGGGAGGAAGGGTGGGAAGTATGAGAAGAGATAAGTACCTATTGGAAATATATTGTCAGTGTAGGAAAATAATAACTTCTGATATGATAACTTACCTCATCTCAATAATTAGAATCCCTCATTGAAAAGGTGGAGGGACTGGTACGAGAGATATAAATGAGTCTCCTATGAAAGCATCCAAAGAACATCCATAGAGAGTGACCTCTGTTGGGAGAGGAGCACCAGTGGGAGACTGCACCACTTGTAATTGGGTGGAAATCATGAGGGGCACATCTGTCATCAGATGGAAAGATGGTTGATTCAGCCCTACATCCCATGGAAATCTCCATAAAGCCTAACCCCAGATATGAATGTATGTAGAGCCCACAACCACAGAAATAATGGTGGGGAAGCTAAAACAGATGTGCCCCATGGTGTAGAATGGCTAGGATACATCAGACTTTACCTGTCAACTCCAGTTCAAAACCAGACAGCATCAGGTACTTATTGTCCAACCAGTGGCAGGAGGAGGGTCCATGCAGTCTTCACCTCAAGTTTAGTAGACTAAAGGGAGAAATTTTATACCATCCCACTAAACAGGGCACGTGTGTGCAAATTCACAACCAACACCAGCCACTCAGGAACCTGACATCTGAATGATGGTAGGAAGGGATGTGCCAGTGTGGTGGTTCACTCAAATCCAAGAACAATTGGACCAGTTCTACTCCGTGCAACATCATTCTCTGGATTTGAACCTCATTGAGGAACTACACATTCTCCATGCAACATCACCCTCCAGGACTCTAGCGCATGGAGTTGGAGCACAAGGGGCAGAACCAAATGACCATGGTATGATGAGGAATCCCTATCTATATCTGTGAAGACTTATGTTGGTTGGTTCAGCTCTTATACAACTATGTGAGAACAACATCCAGTTAATAGTAGGATGAGTGACCCTAACCAGGGGGTGAACTGCTTTGTGGTGGATCTACACATGATATGGCGTATGATTCAGATGGAGATCTATGCCATCTACACCTGCAGAACACTACCACCCTAGTCTCAACTGAATGGAATTGAGCACATTCAGGAGGCAGTCTCCATAATCCACCACCCCAGAAGCTATGAACTGGGAACTAATAAGGACTCCTTTTCTCCAATAGAAATGTAAAGTATTTTGACAGGTAGAAGAAGATACTCAGACGAGGAAGAAATGGCCACCCAATGAAGGTAATGTGAGATGAATGTATGAGGGGTGGTTCACATGTTCAATGCAAGAATCTCTTCTAAAGGACAACCTGGAGAAAACTTCTGGAAGAAGGTGACAGGGAGTAATACACCAGATTGATAAGCTAATGAGCCCGGCCTGTCAGGGTAGAAGGGGAAAATCACACTGTGAGAAAAGTTTCCAGTGAAAGAAGAGGTGGGATCGGGAACCACATAAGTAAGCCATGCAGGCAATATAACAACAAAGAGCATGAACAGGACATAGAAGTCTATCTGGATCTGACTGGTAATAGAGGTAAAAAAGGGAGGGAAGGGAAATTGGCAGAAACAATAACTGACGTGGCAGTGTATAAGATGGGAAAGAGTAGGACATGAAACAAGATACAGATATAAGGTAACATACCTGAGAAATCAAATCCATGAAGGCTAAGGGGGTTCTGGCTGATTCCTCAGAAGAGGCATGGCAGAGGGTGGAAAAAACAGACTCTCAAAATCCTTGTTACTATGAATGGGTTCCACTGGAACTGGAAATGCCTGTGCAGGGTTGGGAAAAGAGGGATGACCCACATGAAGTTCAATTTCCTGATGAACAGAAGCTGAGACCCTCGTATCTTAAGCCTATGTCACAGCAATCGAAGTAGTAGCTACAGTAACAGAAGTTGTGACATGAAATTTGCAAGTCATATTTGACTGCGAATAAATTGGGAATCCAAGAAAAAGGTTAAAAAAAGTGTCAAACCAAAGGAATAAATAAACAAGGTAAGTTAACTTGATAATAAATTACAGTTAACAAAGAACTGTCAAAACTTGAAGGTACTACTTTGAAAAAAAGAAAATATCTCCTAAATTTGCATGAAGATTTAGAATGTTTGAACTCGATGACTGCCTAATGAGAAGTAATTGTTAGGTGAAATCAAATAGAGGGAGTAACCTGCATCAGGAGAGTGTGTTGCACTCCTGTTGGTGGAGGGTTGTTGCATGACAATTTATTATGTGAAGATTCAGTAAACCATGTTGATCATTGGGTAAATGAGAGTTTCAAGGCTGATGGCGAGTGAAAAAATTTTCCTTATAGAGGGCAGCACTGAATGAGAAAAGCTATTAGGCGAGAGGAGGTAAGGTACCATATTGGAATATAAAGTTTTTCTGAAAAAAACGTTTCATATTTATTTAGAAGGTTTTAGAGACTTTGAAGAAAAATATTTTTAATTGTAATATGAAATTCTCTTTACACTTAAAGCAGTCAATACTCTGACTCCATATATCTACACACAAAGTTTTAGCAACTTCCTGAATTAAAAATTCTGATTTTTTGTTTACAAAAGACTTGTAATGTTTACTGAAATGTTCCCAAATGTTGTGAGCATACACTAAGTGCTTAAGAGTTATGTATACCTTCATGGTTACAAGTTATTTACATGGTGGTTAGGAGGTTGTGTAAAATACACAAGCCCATTGCAAAAGAGATAATTTTCTGCTTTATTTACAAGTCTGTTTAGAAGTTTACTTAATTTTCCTATTTTTTATTTGTACAAGTTTTTTAATTTGTGGATTTTTTTCTTAATAGAATGGTGAGAAATTGCTTTATTTCTATGCTAATCTGGCACCAAACCATTTGTTAACAAAAATCATACATTTATATGTGTACAGTGTTGAAGTTATTAATCTGTATGGTTAACACCAAATGTATGTTTGACTTTTTTATGCGATTTTATAATTTCTATGAAAGTGAAAAAAAAGTTATTTTTAATAACTACTTTTACTATGTTGCTAGATGATGATATGTTTTTTTGGTATGTTAATGAAACTTTCCTTTTTTATTACCTATAGAGCAGTACTTCATCTATAAAACAATCAGCTGGGATAAGATTCATACAAGCTCACTGAGCTTTCATATAAAAGGTTTTCCTTACTTGCTGGATTAAGGCTATACTGTAGGAAGCCAAAAAAGTTTTGCTTCACAGCCATCAAATTGCTAATTATGGTGTATATGCTGTTAGAGAATTATATTTTATTGTCAAAAGATTATGTAGCTATTTATTTCAAAACAGCTTTCAGAAACCTCTTAAAGTTTAGAGAAAGAATATTTATACCTTAAACCTCCTACTTTTTTTGGCATCAAATGTAAAAAATATTTTTAGGGTTTATTGTTATATGACAAATATAGAAAGATAAACATTAATTTCAGATTCATGACAATGGAACAAACAAGGCGGTTAGTATTAATGCTAGAAAATGATCCCAAAGTTTTGACCCTGCCTCTCATAGGAATGTAAGTTACACTTTTATTAATTTATTTCAGTGAATGTAATATTTTTCCAAATGGAAAAACTGTGAAATTGTACTTTTTTGTAAACTTTGATAACAAATTACTTCTTTTCTCAATACAATTATATAACTTACATTGAAAATAATATTTTTCATTATTGTTAATTTACCAATCTATATGAACATTAATAGCAATTTAGCATTTTATGTTATTAAGTACTTCATTGATTTAAGAAGTATCAATAAGTATAGTAATACTTAATAGTAGGGATTGTGACGAAACAGAATGGTGGCCATAAAAATCATCCATTTAAAACCACCTTTAAAATGTCTGAATATTCACAGCGACTATTTCACAGTATTGGCTGAGCAAAACTAAAGCTTGTTGTACATATAAAGCCACTTGAATCACTATATACGTGTTTATAGAGTGAATCAAAGTTTCTCTATTTCAACAAATTCTGAGTATGTAAGTGACTTTTCCAGACAAGCGTACAGAAAAAATGACGAACCTTATTGCTCTAATTTTTTCACAGAAATTTTCCATCATTAATTGTAATATTACATAGAAAAGGAAAGAAATTTAATTCTATAATTTTTTAATTATATATACATATCTATAGTAATGTAGAAAGTTTTAATGCTACAAAAAGTATTGAAACAAGAAAGTCAAGACTACAAAACTGAGTTACTTAAAATTTTATCCCTACTTTAACAAATCACTGTAATTATGTTAGTCTGTGCCAAAGTGGGGATAAAATTTTATCTAACTCAGTTTTTGTAGTTTGATTTTATTGTTTTAATACTTTTTGTAGCATTAAAACTTTCTATATTACTATAGCTAGCTAGGTTACGTATATATCGATTAGTTGTTTTTATCAAATTTAAATTTTTTTATTAGACTTGTGTATATTCTACCATGCATCTCTAAAAATCCTAAATCTATAAGAGATTTTTTTGTGATGAATTAACTGATAAATATGTAGTACAAAATGAAAAGGATTATATAAGCGTTGTTTGGAAAATTTTGAATACCTTGCTGTAACTGGAGAATAAAGGTATTGAAAGATTTTTGTGAAGATCAAACTTTTCTGTTTTTGAATAATACTTGCTCAATAGATTGATTTTGTAAGCTACTATTACATTATTCATAAGCTACTATTACATTATTCATAAGCTACTATTACATTATTCATAAGATACTATTACATTATTCATAACATACTATTATTTCTCCATAAAGTTTTACTGTCTAACTAAAGAAATGTGCTTAAACAGCCAGAGAGGTAAAATAAAGCTATTACAGAATAACAAATTTATATGGATACCAGTTTCAACACACATTCACATGTTCTGTTCAGTCCATCTTTTGTTTATGAAAGGAACACACACAACACAATCCACTTATTTTATAATGCAAATTGGATTGAAAAGGACACGTGAAAGTGTTGAAACTCGTGTCCATATATACTTGTTGATCTATAATAGTAGATGTAAACTTTATTTTAAATTACTTTCCACTATATTATGTAATTACCAACTATTAGTCAGAAAGATATTTGTTTATTGAATACATTTAAATATCTGAGTAGTGTTCTGAAAGTTTCTGACATATTTTTAGTTTAATTTCTTTTAATCTCTAATTGTGTTCTAAAATATTATAATACTGTTTATTTTTGATACTGCTATGAAGAAAAGGTTCATTATGTTAACTTTTGCATAATTGTTAACTTTTACTTTCTTATAGTATAAAGTAACATAAAGCGATAACTTATATGTATGTATTATAGCTGGGTGAGTGGTATATCAAGTATCTGTCATCCATATGTGTGGGCTGCCTCTTTAAGATACTTAAATTGCTCAAGTTATCAAGATAGGTAAGTTTTGTTTAATTCTACTTAGTTCATTTCTGTTCCAAGTATTTTCTACTTTAGGTGGTCATTATGACTGACATTAGTGCAAATGCTTACATGCTGGTTAAAGCCTCTATGGAAAAATGTATGTAAAGCTGAAGCTGTGATGCTAGTGTCTAACTTTAACATAGTTTTAAAAAGTGTATTTGGTGTTCACATGAATTGATATAATAAATACTTGAAACTGTCGGTACTTGGTGAAATTCCATTCTGCACATGAATTTAGTTTAATTGTTGCTTTTTTATTTTTTTACTTAAGATTTTGTATAACTCATGATTTTGTTGAATTGCTTCTGCTCAACGTGCATCAAAAATGGTAATGAAGAAATTAGTTTTCAAGTACGTTGGCTCAGTGTTTATGTTGGCCATAGGATCAGGTATATTAAGGTTTCTGATTAAAAACTTGCATGCTTCTTTTGTTTGTTCTTTTTAATGTGATATAATCCCAAATTATAAAGGCTAATCTGCCCTAGTTTTGATTCCTATATAGTGATATCTCCTGAATATACGTTGTATTTTATGAAAAGGAAAACTGATATTTAACCAATTTATTATCAACATTGGTACATTATATACCCACAGTTTTTGTATTAAGTCATAGTATTTTTTCTTAATAACATAGAAACCTTTTGGTTTATTGCTTTATATATAGAGGATTAAGTGCATTATATTAAAACAAGTTTTGATATTGCAAACCAGCAAGTCGTGATAACCACAGCTGATATCAGTTCTGAGGGAAGGCATGTATCAGAACTACGTTTTGACATTGGCATTTTATAAGCAGTGTGATGTTATTGAACATTAGTAATTTTTGAGAAGGGCCTATTCATCATTTCTTGCACAAAATATTCATATAAAGATGTGAAGAAATAGAAGATTTAGAATTTCCAAGAATCAACCTTGTAACCATTTTGTGCTTGCTATAGTTTTCATGGTATTACTTTTAATACAGTATTCGTATTTTCATGAACTTTTGCAGATTATCAGTACACATTACAAGGCTTTCATATACAAAATATCAGATTTTTGTATCAAGTTTTAAGATTTTTTAAGTAATGATTTTCTCATGCATTTTTTCCTTTTTGAATGTTGACTATCCAACATGCAAAGTAATTTTGATTTTAAGATTAAAAATACTTTTATACATCAGAAAGTTTTCAAATTTCACATGCAAAATCTATATAACTTCCAGATAATTATCAAATGTTTTTTGTTTGTTTTTTTGTTGTTGTTTTTTTTGAAAAATCTGTATATTTTCTCTGTTATTTTCATTATTGTATCTCTGTACGGGTTTGGTTGATGTGGCCAACCTTGTAACCACCATTAGAAAAATTTATTATTTTTATTTTATTAACGTTTCACCAGTGCCTGACTAACATTACAGAAATTGCAATGACAGAGCACATGTGCAATAATGGTACAGTATTTAAGAATATAAAACTGTCCTTTACAAAGTGGCCTGTCTTGGCTGTGTTTAAGTGGACCAGTATTTTGTAAAATACAGGCACATTTCATTTATAATACATTATATAGGTATATACATTATTACTGTTTACAAATAAGTTTTTAAATATCAAGTATTTTTCTTAAAATGTAGAACAGTAAATAAAGAGTTATAGAAATCAATTATCTCTTCTAGTTATGAACTTTGTACTCGTTTGTTGCTTGCCATAAGTTGCTAAGCCTTAATAAATTTCCCATGGGGAGGATGTAAAACAAAATAATTTGGGGGAAATTTTATACATGCATTTTGAACTAAAAAATTATAAATTACTATATCAGTACCACAGACTTCCACTATAATTTATCACACTTAGTAACTAAGCTGTATATGGGTGTAAAGACATATTTTATGAGCTCACTAATGCCTTACCTTACCACTTGGAATCTAGCATGGAAAGAAAGTGTTTCTCATGCAAATACTTTGCAGAGGTTGAGAAAACCATTAGGGGGACATTCTGAGCTTTCGATTGGTTAGACATGCATCATTGGGCAAAGCAGGTGTACATAAGAAAGTATTTTCAAAAATCTAAGCAGTGGGTTGGGCCACCTTGGTTGATTCAATAAATGTATTAATATTTCAGAAAATAGAAAAGATAGGAGGTTCTTGTCATGTATTCTAGCTTGTCAATATCAGTAATATAAGTATCTAATTCGTAAGAAACTATAAACTTTGTATTTGGACATCAAAAACATCTAATTTGAACCAATGCTACATTCAACATACCATATGACACACAAAAATCGATATTTTGGTTGTTTTTTTTATATTTTATTTTAGATTAAGAAATTAACTAATGTATAATACTGAAATTAGAATTATAATCTGCAATTTGATACCAAACTTATTGACATACATTCATAAAATAGCAGTTCAATAAAACTTTGAATGTAAGTCTATAAATGCAATGACATGGCCTGTGACCATAGGAAGACCCACATCTCCAAGGCAACAGTACCCAACCTAATGAAGGAGGGTCTCCAGTTGGAAAAGCAACACAAGTCTATGGACACAAATTGCTTCCACATTTCCATTCAACCATCACATTCCTTTACCCTATCACCACAGGCATCCTTAACTGCACATGACACAAGGTTTTAGTGACTTGCATTCAAAATGTTGTTAATCTACTTTTTGTTTATGCTATACCAATTAGTATAGCATAAAATCTTAGCTAATAATCCATATTTTAATAATATATAAATTTTAAGTTTTGAATTTTATAAGGCAATATTTAAAAAAATCCTGAACTTCCCCTAGTGTGAAACACATGACACATTTTCTCTAGGCATCTTCTCTATTTTATCCATCACCTGTCCAATAAGTACAAAATTCAAGGTAAATTACTCACTAAAAATTGTCATTGCTCAGACAAACCATAATTCTTATAGCCTTAATTAAATTTTATTTGGTTAAAGAGCTATCAGACCCCTCTTGTCACATCCTCTCTTTCAGGATTTGTTAATAATTCTCTCTTATGCTTAATTCTATATTATCTATAACCAATAGAAAGCCAAGGTTTCATATATTAAATGACATATTGTACAACATTGTTTTCTGAATGGAGAAGTGTCAGTTTCACTGTTAGTACAAGCTTTGTTCCCACGAGAAAGGTAACAGCTAGCTTGGATGAATTTGTAAAGGCGCTTGTCGCATACGTAAAAAGCCAGAAAAATTGTGAGAGTTAGGGAAAATTGTCTACTTTTTGCAAATTATTATTCTATGTTATTTGATGCATTATTTAATTAAATGAAAATTATTTAGTGTATTACTATCATTAGTATAAAAAAAAAGTAGGATTAAGTGTCATTGAAAATCAACAGCAAGATAAATGAAGATTTGGGTAAGTACTTTATTTCTTGTTTTTTATGTTTATTCTTTATTTATTATATATATATAAAAG